CTGGAGACAGTTGAGGCACATTGTGGCTACCATTTCCCATGGAGCCTCTCAAATTTCGTTCTTCTCTATGGAGGGTGAGTGTTGCAGCTTACAGTACTAGTTTGATTTACTCAATTTCTTATGAGTATGTTTCCTCTGTTGTTTCTAAATTAATTTTTTGTTGTCTCCAGTGCTGATTTTCATGACTACCATCATCGTTTGCTTTATACCAAATCTGGCAACTACTCATCTACATTTGTATACATGGACTGGTGAGTATGTTGGCAATCATTGCTTGAACCAGTGGTATGTTTTGTTTATGTAGAATGTACTATTTTGGTGCTTACAGGGAAGATGTCAGTCACTTGAGAAATTGATACTATTTTTTAAAGGCTTCTTCAATGCCCTTTCTTTTCGTCTATAAAACATAAATCCTTCTTATGTTCTGCCATGTTTGGGTTAGTTGAACGTTTAAAGCAAGTGAAGAAGTTGTTGGACTGAGAAATGGACTTTGACGTTAGCTCTTTAGGTCTTAAACTTTATGCTTTTTCTTGAAGTAACCATTACTATTCATGTATTTGATATTTTACTTGAGAGATAAATATTCATACTTGATCATGGTTATGTGATTGTTTAAGGTTATTCTTTTTTAATTGCATGTTCAATTGGATTGGTTTCTTGGCTCTGTTTCTGAGGTTTGTTTTTTTTTCCTTTTTTTGGATAAAAGGTAAAATTTATTATCCGTAAAACTGACTGTACAGTAAGTAGCAAATTAACTGCTACAAAGAATACAATCCCTCAAAACAAACTAGAAAAAACTGCACCAATCTATTTCTTCACCACGTCTTCAAGCCCCCATTGCTTAGCCATATCCCTAGGCCAGGGAGAAGACTTTGGTCGAGCAAATCCCAAGATTTTGCACCTTACATTGAACTGGACTTCATAGACAATCTCACTATCAGCTTTAAAATGTTTTTGGTGGATTCTCCTGTTCCTTTCTGAGGTTATAAGCAAGTTTAAAATGTTTGTCAGTCCCTTTGTAGATGGCTTACTTCTTACTGATGTATTTGGTTATCAGAGGTAGATTATCAGAAAGTTTAAAAAATGTTTGTCTATCCCCTTGATAGATGACTAACTTGTTGATATATTTGGTTACTAGAGGTACCAGTTACTCTGAAACACTTTGTTTAATGGTGAGATAGACCATATAGACAAAATGAATGGAAATAGGATGAAACATGCTGGTTTTTTGCATTGATGATTCGTTCAAGTTGGATGCTTTTATTCACTTCCATGCCGTGGATTATGTGCGGAATATAAATCATTCAATGAGAGTGGAATTTTTTCATAATCTCTGAAGTATAGTTTACCATTAGGAATTAGAAATACATTTGAAGCCATATAATCTGGATTAATCCCAATTGGTTGGGATGCCACATCAGCACTTCAGATAAGGTGGTAAGAGATATGCTCATCTCACCTGATTTATTAGTGATGTTATAGGGTTCATCACAGAAAGAATGTTCGATCCAAAAGTTCTTCCTTTCATTTCTGTGCTAGTTTTCTAGTATCTGATGCCTCCTGTTGTCAAGTTCTCTTATTCCTTTGGTTATTGCCTGATCTGTTACACATTTTGTAGACAATTTTGACAGAGAGCATGATGAAGTACTTCCTAAAAATCAAACATCATTTTATTCTGATTCTCTTCTTTGTAATCCAACTTGCCTTCCTAATTACTGAATGTAAGGGATATGATATTCCTGAAATGCTGATATACTTCTTTTTTAATATTCCTGAAATGCTGATATGCTGATAATAGAAAGAATGTCATGGAAAGTGAGAATTATTGCTGACTATGCATGTTCACTCTCTCAGGATATTTGGTACGGATGAGGGTTACAGAAAATTGAAGGCATTAAAGAAAACTGGATTCAAAGAAGGCAGCAAGCAAACATAGACGGCAGACATAAAATCAATTTTCCTGAAGTATGCATGAGAAGGAAGGGATCCTGATTTGGAGCATCTTGGAAAAGGTCTGGTTTTATATCCTTGGTTCATCTTGTGTGCAGCAATCAGCTTTTCATGTTTAATTGCTGTTGATGTGATAATTTGGAATCATTGGATAGATTTCTTTAGACATTTTGCAACCCTCCTTTTTTCCCTGCATGAATGAAGCTGTTTTCCTATTCTCAACCTCTTTTATAAAGCACCCAGCTACTCTGCTGTCCATTATTGGATAGTGAAAGGTTAATTTCTTATTAACCATTTTAAAGACTGTGTCTTTCTGCCATTTGATCTCAAAGATGTGAATGATATACTGTAATCAACATTCCTTTTCTGCCGGGTTGATGTCATGGTTCTTGTTGGGAAATTTTGTTGAAAATTATTCAGCTGATATCATAAGGGTGAAAAGAATTGAAATGCTCAAAGGTGATGATCTCAAATTACGGGAGGAGGGTCACATGCATTAACCCAAATTTTCTTTTTTCTACGTAGGGGTTATTGACGAGAATGGTCCGATTTGACACAAGTATATGAGGCTTTCCATCCATTATGTGATTTATCATTTGTCCAGCTCTCCCACCAAACTTTTTGTTTGAATTTACTGTTTCTATAAATCATGTGTGTTTGAGAATCTTTCTTCTTTACTCGTGGCCCCCATTCCCAGATTTAAATCGAAAAGGTTTTAGAATTACGAGAAATATCAAAGAACAAAAAAACATCCAAAGAAATTTTGATTTTGCAGTTTCAACGTTTCTAAATTGCAAAACCAAAAAAATTAGATGAGACCTTCTGTCTCCTCCATATCAAGAGACCTATTTCATTCAATGGTTTATATCCAAATTCCGTGACAATTTTTTGCTAATTCAAAGCCAAGAAAGTTTTTCAGTTTAGCCAGAGGTGAGTTTTACTGTATGTTGAGTCATGTCCAGCTTGAAACAAAATTAATCGATAACCCAATAAACTTTCAAATACCGAATGGTTTAAATCAAAAAAAAGAATAGAGCCAAGAAAGTTTGAAGATTTCAACAAAAGAAAGCTTTGCTTTTTGGTACATAATCTGGCCTCATACCTTTGGACCGTGAGAATTACATTGCTGGCTTTTAATTTTATGGGTTAAGCGGTAAACAAGTCACCATGCATCATCTTCATCTTTTTTTCTTTTTTTTTTCTTTTTCTTGAATTACAAAATATAAAAAAACAATTATTTTTCATCTCTTTAATATTAATATATGTTAAGATATTTACCATTGCTGTTAACAGAGGAGGATATCATTCCAAATTGAAGTTTCCAGAAAACGAAAGCAGGTCCCATTTCCATTTTTCCCTGTCGGTGTTAACGACAGTTTTCATCATTTTCTCATTTCCACCCTTTCTTTTCCACTATTTGCACTTTACTCCTTCCTTCTCCTTTCCCAACAGGAAAAGAAACTCTTGCCTTGCCCTTGCCAAATTCAATAAAAGCCTACACCTAAATTTAAAAATACGTACACATATATATATTTATATAGACTCTATTATCTGTTGTCTACGTGGCTTTTCTCAGATCCACCACGACCACGCTAACATTGTCCGTGCTGTGCCTCGCCAATGCTAGCTTTGTCAGCAACATGGACGCGTCGGTGCACGCCCTGTCCGAGATTTCTCCCGTTCTTTCGCTGGACTCCGGCGTCTCCTCCTCCACTAATACACCAGACGGCGCCTGCTTCTCACCACCCTTCCCCTTCTTCAAGCACATACGTGCAACCCCACACGCAGTGTCATTTGACACCACGTCCCACAGACCGTCGCTCGCAAGTATCAGGCAGTCGTCCTCCGGCGTACGGTCCGTGATCGTCACCTCCGGCTCACAACTCACGTATGGTTTCAAGTAGTTGTCGCCTGTTTATATCGTGGATAATATTAACCATCAAGCGGTAAATATGGAAAAACAAGCACAGTAAAAAACGCTCAGGTTAACGGAGTAACTACAGCCATTTTTTATTTTTACCTATGGCTCTTGACATGGCGAGCACACCGAGGACCCGAGGAGCATCCCAGTAAATAACCCGGCCGCCGGCGGCTTGAATCCGATCGAGCTCGTCCGGACGATCAGGCTGTTAGCACCAACACAAACATTGTTTCACACCAAACATAAAGGAAGAAAATTGAATCAAACAATCCCAAGTAATGGATCTAAGGATCAAGGGTCTCATGGCTTTTGAGAATTTATGATGCATGAAAAGAGAAGACACAATGCAGCAATGCAGAATCTGCGTATAGTGTTTCAGCATTAAATGTTTTGGTTTCCAGGAAAGTGAAGCAAAAAGAAAGAGAAATTTCCTAACAATCCATATGAGATAATTGATATACCTCGAATCAGTCATTAACTTTTGTCTTACTCAGAATATAGGATGTGAGAGAAATCAAAATTTTTTCTTTCATTTTCTTGCAAACCAAACATAAGGTTAATTGAGTGCTAACCTTGTGATCAGACGATAAAGGAACCGCCTTGCCTTTACGACAAAGCACGGCTCTAGAATCGCCGCAGTTGGCGACAACGATCTTATCAGGCGTTACAATAGCAACGACAGCGGTAGATCCGGCGGCGTCGCACTCCGGAGACTGTAGTTCGCACCGGCAGCTGGCGCCCACTACGCTTTCATTCCACTTTATCACCTCCTTGTCCATCCGCGTGAAGCTTCGCTCCAACGCGATCCTCCACTCACATTCTCCGTCGCCTCCTAGCTCTTCCTTCACAAGGTCATGTAACCTCTCTCTGCACCTCATCGCCACCTTTAAAAAACCCAAAAAAAAAAAAAAAAAAAGGAATTCAATTTCTGAATCGCTAAACTAAAAACGAATTCACCATCTGATTTTTACAAAAGATATCGAGAATTCCATACATGAGAGCAACCGTGTCCATCGTAGACCCCAAAATAGTGCAATTGAGTAGTGGCGCCGGTGTCCTGACCTTGCCGGTGAAATGACGGATGAATCGCAACCGCGTCTTCCATGTCTCTTCGCCTTCCACACACCGACGTGAATCCGAATTTCAGGTTGAATTCTGGGTTTAGTAAAGGAATCAACAGTGATGGACTAGAGCGACTTCTCATCATCCCGCCTTTTGTTTCAGATCTTCCGTTTTTTACCTTTACACTGTTTTCTCCATCATCATCGACAGCGTTCTCACCGTCAAGAGAAAACGACGTTGCCGCATAAACCTCTAGCTTCGGTCGTTTAAGGCTTTTCTCCTCCTCCACCGCCACCGCGGCCGCCTCCGGTTGTGCTACGCCGATAACAAACTTGAACCGTCTAATTTCCATTCTCCTCCTCCTAGCAACTCTCGAGCTCGACTCGCACGCCGTCAACGGCGCCTCACCCTCGCTCACCACTCCGCAGCACATCTCCGCCATCCCAACAACAAAAACCACCCAATTATCACTACCATCAAAAAACTCCTGATACCAAAAAGTCTTTCAGAGAAAGGAAAATTGAAATAAAAAAAAATGAAAGAAAAAGATACCGTGCCCTTCACACAGCTTTAAAAGAGAAGAACTTCCATGGCGATATTTTGTTATTACGTTACGGACGCTCACCTTTTTTAGGACAAGATGCCCGTCGCCGACCGAACAGATTCCATTGTGCGTGACGGAATGACTCTTTTACCTAAATTACTAAAATGAGCTCATCTCTACCGTCAGATCTCACTACCTGCTGCCCTTTCTTCCTCCCGAACCCACCACGTGTACCTGACTATCCCTACGTGGTCCAATCATATTTCAACGCCACGGTTAACAGAGTTCCTTTCCTCACACGCATGTGGTCCTCTCCTTTTCTCTTCTACTATTTTTCAGTTTTGAAATTTCTTTTAAAAAAATAGTAGATTAAGGGTGGGGTTCGGTACACGTGTCAGAATCGTAGGATATGAGAATTAAGCACGATTTTGTTTGTCGAGAAAAAAAAATTCTACCTTTATTCCGCGAAGGCTTCTACGTATCCCTTGTTAATTTTAATAATTGTGGGTCCACATGTCACGTTGTTGACGCCGAAACTGAATTGAATTTCTAGGCGGATACTTTATCTCTCTGAATAAGCCCTATGATCCTTTATTTTCAGCAATTTAGTCATTATAGTTCATTATAGTGGCAAACGGTTAATCAACTTTTCAATCCTTCAAATATCAACCCAAGTTAGACACAGAAACATTGCGGGCGACCATTGCATTGATGTGCATTTTTGCATTTAAAAAGTGAAGTGCAGTTCAACTTGTGTGGAATGTATTATAACATTCTCTTTTTGTATGATGTAGATATTGAACTTTTTAAAAAAGTGACATTTTACATTTAAAAATGAATCAAATAGATTATGCAAGTATAATCTAATTTTTATTTAAAAGTGTAACCATACAAAAGACTATGAAATTTGTTTCTGATATATAAGCTAAGTTATAGATTAAACAATTGAATGCAAATTTTGACATGTGACTTTTGTGTCCACATTTTCACAAGCCAAGAAGTTGAGGGATCTCTTACTATTAAAAATTAGAGACATTTTATGCTTGCCATGACAACTGGCACCCCCTCTATGTATTGGTGGAGATATATAATCAATGACTCATTAGAGATACAAGTATCTCATCTCAAGCAAATTGTTTGTGGTTGATAATGGAAATTTCTAGTGTTGACCCCAGCTAGGTCACCGCATTTAGTGCAAATTCAAATTCAATTGTTTGACAAGTTATGCCTTAAAGAGGGGGGGAAGGATACAGTAGTATGGATTCCTTCCACATCTTGTGTGTTTGAAACAAGGAAAACATAGCACTAGATTAAAGGCTAGCAAAACAAACAACCTTGGCATAGATTGATATGATTTGCTAATGCAATCCCTAAACATAGTTTTGTGAGTTTGCTTGATGTTCTTAACAGATTCATTACCAAAGCTTGTTAGAAACAATGGACACATAGTTTAGATGATAAATGTATTCTATGTAAAAGTGCACAAAAACAAGGTAATACTTATTTTTTAAGTGTAATTACTTTAGATACATCTGGTAAGAACTTAGTTTTATACTAGACATCCCCTTCATAGATTCATAACAAGACTTACTAGGGTGGCTTGGCAAGAAAATCAAGAGAAAATCTCTACATATTCATTGATTAAACTAGCATGAAATTCAACTATTTACAATGTTTGGATGGAGGAGAATAGAAGAATCTATCAACATATTTTTAAAGTTGAAGTTGTGCGGTGCTTATTGATATTAGATTTATGATCAAAAGTAAGATTTTAGGGTTTATCTAATCACATTTATCTTATAATTTCTCAAAAACTCTGGTGCTAAAATAGGGCCTTAAAGCCATTATAAACAATCGAAAGTTAATAACATACTTTTAGTTTGCAATTTGTTTTTCTTTAGTGGCAGCACTTTTGCTTATGACGTACTTTTAGTCTTTTGGATAAATGAAGATTCACATTTCATTCAAAAAAAAAAGAAGGACTCAGTTGATAGAATTAAAAATTTTGAGGACTTATTTTCAAGTTTTTCCTTTCTATAGACACGCCATTAATACCCTATAACTAATTCTAATTCCAAAATTAGTACTGGGGATTAACGTTTTACAGTTTGGCCTACAGCGAGCCGGGCGAGGAGGGGACATTATCACAAAAGTGTGGATTTTATGTATACGTGGAGGAGAAAGAGTGGATAACGTGTACTATGACAGAGAGGATAGTACGGTTTTTGGGCGTGGGGCCCAATAAGTAGACTCGTGGGTTCGGCTACACGTGGACCATGCGGCTGGGCTGGCAGGCAATTGTACTATGTGACTGTGTCTTTGGTACATGAAGTTGACAGGATGAGCCAAAGTTAAATGCCACGTGGGGGTGACGCTGTAAAAATTTTGTTAAGACCACACTATTTTGAGGTCATTTGACTATTTTACCCTTTCTAATTTTTTTTCGTAAGTTTTCTTTTCTTTTTTTTTTGCGTGTACCTTGTACGCGAAACAAACAAACGAACACAGATTTCAAAAATTTGAGCCACTTTTTACAAATTTTCTAACATTTTCTAAGCAACCAAACAATGAGAGAGAAAGAGCTTTGCCCTGTAAGCTTGTACAAGTACAAGGAAATTTCTAATGGGGAGAAATGCTTATTCTTGTTTTCGGAAAAGCTTCAAACGGAGAATTTATGGCTAGATTGAAAAAGACAGAAACTAGCATGGACTAAGAGATCCTGGTCCTGGCAATACATTTCAATTAATGATCTAGAAAGAAGCAATCTTGTTTCTTACGTCAAAAGAGGCTCTTTTTTTTTTTCTTCTTCTCTTTAATTTCTTCCATCCTCTTGCCCTTAATCTCTACTTTCAAACCCCACTCTCTCTGCTTCGATTTCACCATAAACCCTAACTAGCAACACCCAGCCTCCTCCAAATCCAAGCCTTATTCCCACTACTTCAAATCCAAACCCATAAAATCCAGGGTTTTTTTTTTTTTTTTTTTTGTAAATATAAAATCCTGTTTGTCGTGGGGAAAGAAATAACTGAAAGGAGAAAACCCAAAAGAAAAGAAGAAAGATGAAAAGTGTGTTGAGGAAAAAAATTAACAAAGGGTAAAATAGTCAAATGAATTCAAAATAGCGTGTGGCCTAAACAAAATATAGGGTAACCTACTCCTCCACGTGAGTTAAGGTTACGCTAACCCTAACCAGGGTTACTTTAATCCAGTTCTGGTGTGGTTAGGTCGGCCGGAGTCCGGACGTCTTCTCTCTTTCCTCTTCTTTTTCATATCCCAGGCAAGGCAAACAGACAGGGAAAGAAATGCAACGGGTGTTGAGAACGACAAAGAATGGAGGACACATGGCAATGAGAGGGATATGGGAGGAACTAGGCATGTTGGGGAAAGGAGGAGGGAAGGGTGTTATTGGTGGAAGGGAAAAGGCTTGGAGGGGAGGGGAGAAATGGAGGAAGATACGTGGTGAGGTAAGAGCGTGCATGTAGGGCAGATTGCGTTGGCATGTGTTGAAATGGGGTACATCTGTCGCCGTGCCGTGAAGAGGGCATGCGGAAGGAAACTGCAAAAGACAACAGTGTGAGAGAGAGACAGAACACATAGCTTGATTAGACCTACTTCTAGCTGTATCTGAGTCACTCAAACCTGACATGCGTGCCTGAAAATGGCACTGATCGATGCTCATCTATTTGGTATGATTTGGTTTGGTTTTACTACAACTAACATTTGTCAAAAGTCCAAATTTAACAGATACAATTAATTTAAGATTTTTTTCTGATTTGAATTTTTAAAAGTTTTTACAAAATAATAAATAATAATATTAAATTTATTAATTATTTAATTAAATTTATTTATAGGATAATAATACTCAAATTAATATTGATTTTTATTTTTTATATAAATTTATATTAAAAAATTTATAAATTAATTAGCCAATGTTTATGAATTTTTCGAATCAAAGATTTAGTTAAAATATTAAAGGCATGTTTGGTTATCTCTCTTTTGGGAGACAATTTTTAGAAAATTGTGCACAAAAATAGCCCAAGTTGCACTAAAAAATAAATTTTTTAAACACGAAAATTAATAACAAAATATAATTAATTGTACTCCTTAGTAATTAGTCATAATAGTTTAAAGGTAAAATAATCAACCAAATAAAACAAAAAAAGTAATCAATTACACGTTTCAAAATGAAGCTTTTTGAAAATTTTGAGCATGCAACTTTTTCCTCCTACCATAGTACATTCTATTTATTTATAATTAATTTTTTTTAAAATATTATATTTTTTATTGTATAATCAACTACATTTCACATTACTTTATATGCTCAAAAAACTATTTTTGATTCAAGTCAGTAAAAAAAAAAAATCTCAAAAATACCTTTTGGGTAAAATGGTAACCAAACAGATCTTAAGTTTAGAGCATATTTTGTAGGGAGAATTACAATTTAATTACTTGTGCTTAAGGTTAGTGCATAGAAAGATTTAAGATTTTAAAATATGATATAATATATTTGTGATTTGAAATAGGTACACATAATAACTTGAGATTTCAAGATATATAAATAAGGATCTAAGATTTGTATTTGGTGTATATAATCACTTAAAATTACATGAAATTATCTTAAATATCCTTATTTTTTTTTAAATTAAAATTTTTAAAGAAATTTCAAGTGATTATTTACACTAAGTGCAGATCTTAGGTATTTATGTGCACATTTTGATATATTGGGTCTTTATTTACACAGATCCAAAATCACAAATATATTATATGCACATTTTAAAACCATAAGTTTTTATGTGCACTTATTTCAAATTACAAATAACTTATATCACAATTTCCCCTATTTTGTATTTCCACAATCTCAAGAATTGCTTGGAAAGTTTAATCACAAAAAAAAAATACTTGCATTTGGTATTTTTTTGCTTGCAAACTTTACGAGGAAGCTTTGCTTTCGAGGGGAAAAGAATCATACCTAAGGCTAGATTCTTTTTCTTTGATTGAAAACACGAGAAAGAAAACTTTCATAAATTTTTCAGTATTTATAACTCATTATTTTAATTTTGTAATCCATTATTTCAACATAAGAAGTGTGTAATCCATTGTTTTAATTTATATAACTGATTACTTTAGTTTTATGATTGATTATATTTTATTTTGTATAATTGATTATACATAAAAGACGAAACCAATTATATCTATATATAAATCTTATCAAAATAATTGATTACTTTGAATATCATAATCAATTATATTCAAAATATAGTTGATTATAATGTTTAAGAAAAATTTTTGCCGGAAAAAGCAAGCAAACACAAGAAAGCTGTGTAACTTTTACCTAGCAACATAATTTATCTAGAAAAATATTTTGTTTGATAAAACTTTTTAGATCGACATATAATTAAATAAGTTTTTAATTATTTAATTAAATTTATTTATGTAGTAATAATATTAAAATTAATGTATGTTTTTATATTTTTAATATAAATTTATGATAAAAATATTATATCCTTAAAGTATATATTAAAAAAATTTAAATAAAGAACTAATTTTTGTTATTTTAGTATAAATTATATTTATTATTCTCTTAATCACCTATAGATTAAATGATAAGTTAGAATAATCCCGAGCTTAATAATAAAGCCTTAATGCACTTGACACTCCAAATCAAGTAACTTCTGATTATATTATGGTGCACCCCCTCCCCCCTTCCCTCCTTGCGACTCCTCCTCATGATAAATTGTTCAAAATAATAATAATAATTATTATAATAAAATCCTAACCCCGGTCTAAAATCTAAATGAGGGATTTGATAATTAAACGAGAGAGAGCATCCGGATTTGACAAAAATAAAACAATTGATAGGACATCAAACCGTCTTAGTAAAGTAAACGACTGGCTGGTTTACAAGTTTGCCTAGCTTTCTCAATCTTATCCTAGATACCGATCATTACAGATGGAGGTAGGTGAGGACCGATTGGAGCAGCTGGATGCCTTGGAATTAACAATCATCGTGGTTATAATTATAATATATTGTGATATATGATGAATATAACATATTATTAAATAAATAAATATATAATATTGTGATTAAAATTTTAAATTATAAAAATTAATTTTATAATAAAATAATAATTAATATATTTTTTAATTTAATATATTTACAATATTTATTAGTTTAATTATTAAAAAATTTATATTTTTTAATTTAAATTTAAAACATAAAAATTTTTAAAAATAAATTTTAATAACTAAACTAATGTATATTGTTAAATGTGTCGAACCAAAAAATGAATAAATTATTTTTTTATATAATAACATATTATATTAGACATTTACAATGTTATATAACATTGTAATTAATAGCATTTTCCTAATAACTAAGGACACAAATTGGTTGATGTCTGATGATAATAAAGATCTGTTTATTTCAAATGTAGAATTGTAGAGAGGTAGTTATTCAGACAAGAGTACAGAATAATATATGTAAGATACAGAGATGAGTTGAAGACGGGAATTGGTGATGCCTGATTGCCTGCCTTCAGTTGAGTTTGGAAGCTAGCTATGTGGGTGAAGATTTCACAGTCGCACCTCCATCGACACAAATAGTCTGTCCGGTGATATAGGAGGCTGTAGGCATGCATAAAAATGCCACCAGGGGCGACACCTCCTCCGCTTCTCCTATGCGTCTTAGTGGAGCTTGAGTGCAACCGGCCTTACGAGTATGCTCATCATTCAGAAACTGCAACAGAAGTAAAAATCATACAGAAACCAAGTGAGCTTAAATATTGCTTCAATTCATCCATCTGTTTGAATAGAGAACAAAAGGGAAATTAATTGTGGTTATATAAAGAAGGTTCTCACAGGCTCCCTCAAGGGGGTTCTGATGAAGCCAGGTGCCACACGGTTAGTCCTTATTCCGTCGTTTGCCCACTCACAGGCCAAATTCTTAGTCAATTGGGTCAATGCCGCTGCCAAAGATGGCACTTAAATATTAGAGATGGATATGCTGCAAATATATATTGGCATGAAGTTATAGATGTACATATAAGAGTAAGACATCATCACCTTTAGTTGCAGAATATAAGGATCCAGAGGAAAGATAGTATGTAACACCAGAAATAGAAGACATGAAAATAATGTTTCCTGCACCCGAAGCTTTCAAAAGAGGATATGAGATTTGGCAGAGGTGATACGCTGATTCAAAATTGGCACTTATATGAAAAGCGAAATCTTGAGCTGTGTATTCTACAGTGGGTTTCCAGATTTGATTTCCAACGTTGTTGATCTGGACAGACACAGAAGATCATCAGCATTGTAAACATAATTGTTTTGAATTTACAAATGGTGTTAGTACTTACAAGTATGTTGAGCTTTCCGTGGAAAACAGAGGCGACTGTTTCCATTAGCTTTTCTCGTTCAGCTTGGGATGATACATCACAGACTGAACCAGTGACTTGAAATCCCTTCTTCTGCCATTCTGCCAAGCAGTCATTAAGCTCAGTTTGGTTTCGAGAACAGGTATGTACC